CATCACCCTGCATTCAGACTCAAGTCAACGTCATCAAAAGTCACTTTACAGGTGTCACACATGTGTCATCATCAAGTTGCGGAACAGAACCACATGACTTAGTTTATTATATTATAAAATTTTATACAGACACCGTACCTAAAATTTATTATCCACGAGCAGTTCAAAAGTGATGTCATTAGTTTAGGGGTGTTTAATTCTTTTATTGAGAATTTAGCTCTCTTAAGGGATGATTATAAGTGCTGAATGACTATTTTTATTTAATGAATTCACCATTCCCTATTCCATTAAAAAAACAAAAAAGATATAGTAAAGAATCAATCAAAATTATTTTTGTTGAGCAAAAAGAATTTCAATTTAATAAAAATAATTTCAGTTCAACAAAAATAAGGTAAAAGTGAATAGGATATACTCCGTAAGTTATTCTCATGCCCCCTTTTCGTGTTTGTCAATACGCATTTAAAATCATTGATTTGGAAGCAACTATTTGGTGCAGCAAGGCACACCATGCGGCAAGAGTTACCTGAGTTTTTTTGTTAGGGGTTACCTGAGTTTTTCTGTCAAGGGTTACTTGAATAACTCGGTCAGGGTTACTTGAGGGGTTCAGACAGGGGTTACTCGAGGGGTACACTCAATTAAGGATTACTTAATCAAGGGATACTCAAGTTTCTCGGTCAGGCCGCATACAAAAAATTATGACTTGAGTAACCCCTCACCGAGAAACTCAAGTAAAATTGTGACTCGAGTAACCCCGACAACTTGAGTAACACTTGACCGAAAAACTCGAGTAACCCTCGACCGAGAAATTCAAGTAACCCCGGAAACTCGAGTAACCCATGACCGAGAAACTCAAGTAAACCTTGACTGAGAAACTCAAGTAACCCCTGTCGCACGATACAACATGCGGTATATAAAAATTTGCGTTGATTTGGTATTCTAAAAGTTATTTAAACAAATTAAATAAGACTCCACTTAGGGCCTGTTCTCTTACATTGAAATTAAGACTCCACTTAGGGCCTATTCTCTTACGTTGAAATTCAGTTCAATTCAGTCCAGTTTAGCTCAGTTCAGTTCAGCTCACTTCAATTCAGTTCAGTTCAGCTCCTAATTTCCTTCTCTTATAAAATATTCATTTCAGTTCAGTTCAGCTTAGTTCAGTTCAGTTTAGTCTAGTTCAGCTCAGTTCAGTTTAGTTCAGTTCAGTTCAGCTGAGTTCAGTCAATGAGAACAGGCCCTTAACTATGTTTTTTCTAATATATTGAAAATAATTTTAAAGATAATAGCGTGTAGTTTCCAAATAGGAAATTTTTTAAGAAACAAAGCAGTGTCATTACAGCTATATTTATATACCAAAACTGACAAAAACATATTTTTTATTATTATCAGGGTGGCTAACACGCACGCGGCATAACTAATCATGTCTTGGGAGCTCTTTCTTCTTGTCTTAAAGTCAACTATAGTCGTTACAACTTACGAGTAGTAATATTAATGAGAGGGAATGTGTATACAAATATTTTTAGTGGTATAATTTTCCACCAACTTAAATTTTTATTTTTTATTTTTTTTAAAAAAGACATAACATCAATGAAAACAAATCTATCAAATATATATAATTATTACGGAGTAAGTAAATAATTACGAGTATACCAAAAATGATTAATTGACCACTTTAATGATCTGTTCATATTTACTTATTTTCAGTTCAGTTCAGTTCAGTCCAGCTCCAATCAGTTCAATTCAGTTTAGCTCCAATCAGTTCAATTCAGTTCAGTTCAGTTCAGCTCTTAATTTCCCTCTCTCATAAAATATTCATTTCAGCTTAGTTCAATTCAGTTCAGTTCAGTTCAGCTCCAATCAGTTCAGTTCAGTTCAGTTCCAATCAGTTCAGTTCAGTTCAGCTCAATTCAGTAAATATGAACAAGCCCTAATACGAGGTTAAGTAAAAAATAAAAATAAAAAAATAAAGTGCAACCAAAAAAATGAAGGGTTAAATTTTGTGAAGGACCCAATGTACCTATTTGTAATAAACAATGTCCCTCCCACGTCCGGCATTTGATGATCAATAAATTAATTTGAAATTTTTACTACAAACTCCAAAATACAATTACAGTTCATAGTTGATGAGAATCCAAAGACATCACTTGTGTAATCCTGCTGCACTTTTTTGTTTTTTTTTATTTCCAGTTTCTAAACTCTTTCTTTCTATTTTGAGCCCACAAAATTATGAAAAGACAAAAGAACAAACTAAAATGAAAAAAAAAAAACCTTTACCGACTTCCCATAATTACTGTATTTGGCTTTATATTTATTTTTATTTTTTAAATTTCATCTTGGGTTAATTATCTCCTTGAAATAGGGAAAATAAAATCACAATTTATAATTAATTAAAACTATGAAACTCAAAATTATAAAAGCCTGATGATTTGTACAAAACACAAGAACATGTAAGACTGAAAGTTCAGTCAAGTGTTTAATAATAGAGTGCTTTTTAAAAATAATTAACATAAACACTTTTGCCGTTTGATGATAATCTCCTAGGGACTGTAGTTTAATGTATGAATTGATTTTTAAGGATTTCGCATTTTTGCTTGGTCGGTGACTTATAAATATTTGTTTATCATTATAATGTTCAAAGCTATAGTGCTATGCAACTTATGTGATTCAAAGTAAAGTATTTATATAGTGCAAAATTGAGGAAATACTACTACGTAATAAAATATAGATAAAAAACAATTTAACGTTCCACATAAAATTGCATTTAAAACTCATACGAGTAATCATTATTATTATAATTTTTTATTTATATATAATGTTAAGTACCAAAAAAAAAGCATTAAAAAAAATCCACCTTATCAAGAGAATTCCTAATGTAACCCGTAATCATTATCTTATGTAATCTATGGGTCTGTTCTTTTTAATTATTTTCACTTCAGTTCTTAATTTCCTTCTTTCATAAAATATTTAGTTCTCTTGTTAAAAAAAAAATATTTAGTTCAGCTCCAATACGTTTAGTTCAGTTTAGTCGGTCATAATAGACCCTATGATCTGCCAAATATGAAGTACAAAGTACTATGAATTCGCATAAGTCATAAGTAATTATTACAGGTACGAGTATTCCAGTAATATTTTTCTAGCTTGTTTATTCCATATGATTGAAAAAGAAGAACACAAAATAGATAACCTTAGCTCCAGGCCTCTAGTAAAGAAGTTCCATTAAAATGCATTGCTCTTTGGGTTCCTCTTTCAACTTTGTACTAACTATTGTTATGTGAGCTTTTTAGGTAAGAAGGTACATCTTATTAATTATTGCACACTTAGTATTTAGTAGTTTTTTTTATATAGTATTTTACCTAGAGTTGGGCACGAGCTATGCCACAAGCCCACAACCATGATAGCGTGTTTCGTGCTCAAGTGGGTCTCAACACCCAAATCAAGCTAAGATATACTCCTAGTTATATTGTGTGTTGATCTTTTATAAGTAAAGCTTATATATGACCCACGAGGCCATAACCTATGGCATAACTCTTATGGTGTGTCGACCTTATGACAAACTTGTGTTAAGTTGAACCATTTTTATGTCGTACTAAACAACCCTCTTATTTGTTTTCCTCGACAATTTTTTTTATTTCCCTTATATGAGCTTTAGAATTATACTATAAATTTTTGTTGCTTTTCACCGTTTTATTACATACATACTACTCCCAAATACAAGTTTTCAAGAATTGAGTAGATTAAAAGATCAATGAAGTACTACCTTCGTTAAAGGTACATCTCAGCTTTTTGTCAAATCGTTATACATAATCTGTGACGGAGGTAGTATAAAAAATTCCAACAGTAGCATTGGTTAAACCACAACCTCAATTCAAAAATAGACAAGAATCAAGTTAAAAAACAAAAAAGGGAAAGATTTACCGAATGAATGAAATATTATTGTTAATGTCAAAAATCGAGTATTGCATTATTATCGTTCATATATTGCCGTTGCCAATCTAATTTTAAAAAATTAACAGGAGTGTACTACAAAAGCAAAGAAGCCGACATTTAAAAAAGAGCCACCACAAGTGTACCACCGTTTTGTGCTGTCACTCTCTCCTACCAATCTGCCATTAATATCACTTATTTTATTTTTATACGGAGTAGTATTTACCTTTTTTTTTTTAAAAAATAAAATTATATGGGTATTTCTTATGTTCTCTTTTAGGACATGTTTTAATTTACTGAACTGAGCTGAACTAAATTGTTTATGAGAGAAGAAAATTAGAAACTGAATTGATTGGAGCTGAACTGAAATTAAGCTGAAGAGAACATACCCTTAATTATAAATTGAATGCTACATTAAAATTTTATGGTCTTCAAAATACAAATTTGATCATGTAGAGCAACACATCACCTACAAATGATTAAATAATAAATTAATACTTTTATTTAGATTTAATCGTTTGTTCAGTAAAATTAAGGTAAATAAATCAACAAAATATCTCAGTCAACCGGTATCCGCATTTAATAAAAGTTGTTGACTTATTTACAAAAATAATATTCATAACCAATTTTTTCGTTTATCACAAAGATAAACTTGTATTTTCTCCATTTAAATACTTTGTTTAAAGTTTAAAGTTCAAACATTACGATTAAAAGAAAACGGAAAAAGTACTTAGTAACAATAATAATACTCCCTCCATTTTTAAATACTTGCTCAATTTCTCTATGCGCGGAGTTTTAGGAGATTGTAATAAAATATGGAGGTAGTGGGGTTGGTGGAAGAATAAAAAAACGTAAAAGAAAAAAGTAGTGGAGAGAATTGGAGAAGAGAAAATATATGTTGGGTCCACTAGATGTGAAAAATTAATTAAATATTGTAAAAACTTTTTAAATAAGAAAATAGAGCAATCATTCAAAAACAGCCGCAAATAAAAATTAGAGCAAATATTTAAAAACAGGGGGAGTAATTAAAAAAATTGTTTTATGGGTCCTTAAAAATGAACCTAGCTACCCCATTTCCAAACTATTTGCTCACATACACACATCCCTATACACCATCACTTTGGCATCCCATCACTTCCTCTCTACTTTAAAGGATTTCACCTCCCCTTTCATTTTCCCCTCATTTTACTCTCTCTCTCTCTCTAAAAATCCCTACTTTCTCTCTCTAAAATCTCCACTTTCTCTCTCCTCAAAAGCATAAACTTCAGAAAAAAAACCCAGTTTAGTTTTTTCTTTGTTCAAGCTTCATCAATGGCTGTGCATCTTGTTATTGGTCTGCTCATCTTATCTATGGCTGGTTACTCAAGTAAGCTGCTCACTTTTTTCTTTTGTTTTTACATATTTCCTAAAATAGTATCTTTTGTTGTTTTAACTAAATTTTTTCAGGTATTCCTTTGTTTTCCTTGCTAAATATAGTAATACTCATACTAAAAGTTTTTGTTCTTCAACTTAGTTCTTGCTCTCTAATATTCTTAGAAAATAATATTTTTTCAATTAATTACAGTATTTGGATTTAACCTTATTTTAATTTATTATTAGTAGAAATTGTTAGATTTGTGAGAGATACGGGTAATTTTTAATGTCTCACAACAAAATAAATTAGTGTTACACGAGTCTTACCAACCGACGGGGTTGGGGGTAACTTTTAATGTCTCACAATAAATTAGTGTGACACGACAGTGGTCGTGGTCATACGAGTCGTACTGACTAACCCGGGTTTTAAATGTAGGTGCCAGTTTTTGTGTATGTAAGCCAAATGTAAGCCCAAACATGATGCAGAAAGCAATAGACTATGCTTGTGGAGCAGGAGCAGATTGTAAACCAATAAGCCCAAGTGGTCAATGTTACAATCCTAACTCTATTACAGCACACTGCTCTTATGCTGTTAACAGCTATTACCAGAAAAATGCTGCTAAAGGTGCCACCTGTGATTTTAGTGGTGCTGCCACTCTCACTAACTCTGACCCGAGTAAGTTCTTTCCACCTTTCTTGTTAAATAATCTCAGTTTAATACTAATTACATGATTATAATGTTTGTTTTGGGGACTTATTGTTAGTTGTCATGTCTCTAAATGTTGTTCCTACTTTGACGGTGTTTTTATAATGTTGTTAAATATAGGTATGGTAAAAAAAAAATGGAAATGAAGTGTGAATTTGCCAATTTAACCTTAAATTTTAGAATAGTGGCTATGAAAATATGCAAAAAAAGGCTTATTTGGTGAAATTCTTGTTATATGTGGACAACTTAGGTGTAAATTTGAATCTAGTGGCTTCTATGCTATTATTACTAAAAATGGGGTTAGAAAGATATGGAACTATGGAAGTATAAGAAATCTAGAGGTATCCTATGTTAATTCCGACTTTCGAGTCAGCAAAGCAGGGAATATCAAATGTGACTTCCATGAGGTTGTTTGCTGCATTCGAGTATGAATATATGACTTTATTAACTTGTTATCAATCTTTAAAACTTGTTATCAAACTTAAATTGGTTTAATTACCTTCTTATTGGTTACTTTTTGTTCTGGTTGGACCATAGAGGATAAAATTGTTAACTTGTACTCTTAAATTGGCCTATTTATCTTCATATTGGTTATTTTTTGATTGAATGTCAAATTTGATGTAGTAGAAGATAAGAAACTTTACTCACTTTTTCTTTCCCAAATGGTGGTTGCTGACGCGATTTTTCATTTGTTCTCTCTTTTGTGTTAATTCTTACAGGTGGTGGAGGTTGCTCTTACTCAGCTTCATCTGGGTATGTCTCATTTTCGCGTAATCTGTTTAAATATCGTTATTTTCGTGGGTTTATGATTTTACATAGACCATCAATAGTTGAGTCACTTGGTTGGCATGACATACATTCCTTGTTAACTTTATTGAAGATTAGATAAAGAAAGCGGTAACACCCAATTAGAAAACATCACATATCTAGTGTTGTTTAGCTTGGATTACGTGGATTAGTATGATTGCTCGTGTAATTAAAGAGGGGGAACAACATTTTAAAACGATAATTACATATAAGGACTGTCTCCAAGGTTTCAAAAAAATACTTCTAAATAGGGTCCATTTGGAGTGAGAGATAACAAAACTGACATAAGTTGACTCGTCTAAAATTACCCCCTATATCTCTTTACCTGTCCTTTGTGGTATCCGGAAAGTATTACCTCATCGGAAAAAGTAGTAGAGGGGGAAGGAATGTTTCGGATGCATTTAGAAGCCATGTGTGAATGGACTATGGCTCATCAACGGAAATGTCAAACAAAGTTGTTTGGAGATGTAACCATTCATCAGTCAAAAATTTGGAAAATTGACCTTTCTAAATGTGTTTTGTTGCATTATTGATTTTGTAAATTATATATTTAGGAGGTACGTTAGATGAGACTGAAATTTGTTTATGTGATTCTTTAGATCATGTATTGTGATCATAAAGTATTGATATATTACGTAGTAAGAAGCTTTTATCTCATCATAAAGGTGCCTTAGGTGGCATGTCATTTTTATGATGTCTCCGTCGCTGTATTTGCTAACCCTGCACATATATACATCCCCTTCCCTTGGTGGCCTTAAATTATGCATTGTTGTTTGATAAACTTGTCTACTTTAGTTCAAAGGTGGTCCATTGAAAATTATAGCCGTTCAATTTGTTAATATGTTGCTTTTTTCTGAGTCAAAAAAATGCTTGAAACCATCTCTATTATTTCAAACAATTGCCTTTTCTTTCCCTTGTTCAAAGTTTTGGAGCCCAGCTCAAAAGATTCTAAGCTCTAAAGCAAACAAAGCGGTGGAATACATCCATACAAAAAACTCCTTAGTTGTAGTATTGTGTTTGTTCATTAATTATGCATTAATTGGTTGTTTACATAAATAATAAGAATGATTTGGCCGGTCCGGATTCGAGATGATATAATTTAAAGAGGGAGCTATTCATTTGATTATAGTATGAATCTAAATTAAAGTAAGAGTTTACTTTTTGTATGATATGAGTAAGACCTTTGCCTAAAGCCTTCACTTTTTCCTATGGTGGATAGATTGAGCATCTTCTCCTTTAATATCATTACTATGATGAGAGCATATCCTTTTCAAACAGTTCTGGTACAGAGTAATCTTTCGTTGCACTAATATTGCCCCATTTTTTAAACACGGCGTCTTCCCCCTTACAACCATAGAGAAATATTAAACTCTACATGTTTTTGAATAAACTAGAGTGAATTAAAGAAATGAGACTACATTAGTGGGACGAAGTGAGTGTGGTAAAAATAATCTTAATTAAAAACAATCTTAATCAAATCCAAATTTCCTTTTCACACTTGGTAATCACAATCATTTTGTCATTTTGCAATTTGCTGCATCAAATCCTTCATGTATGATTACATTTTTGACTCACCTGTCAGTGTTTTAAGGGACAGGTGGCTTGCACTTTGATGAAAGATAACGTTTTCTACTTTATATCTAACTAGATTAAACCCCGTGCAATGCACGGTTGTTAAACAATTCTAATGACAATAAATTTTACCTAAAATAATGGATATAAATATTATAAATATACTTAGTAGTACGGGCAATTTGTTTTGTTAGGACATTTACTTTAGATTTTATACAAACTAAAAGTCATAATTTAATTACAATAATTTTTTTTTTTAGTAAGTGGTTTTGGAGGGAAAACTTTTTATAATATTTTGCCAAGTGTTCTCTAAGTTTCGCCTTTAGTATAATGTAATTGATGAGTTAAATGTGCCACGAAATTTACTGTGTTAACCTGACATAAAAAGACAGTTTTACCCCTCTTATACATTTCCAATAATACCCTTGGAAAAAAAGGTAATCATGCTGTGTCACATGGATGATTAAAGTGGCACAAAACTGTACCATTTTACAGTGATTTGTCAGCTTTCGGATAATGCTGGATTTTTCTATAGATGCAACTGTATATACTTGATGTTAATCTTTTTGTGGCCACTTCTTTTTCTGTCTTGGATATTTTAGATTCCTCTAGTGTTGATAAGCTGTGTCTAGAATGCTCTGTCTACTATTGTTTGGAACTGGATTATTATATTAGGTTAAATGGCCTCAATTCTAAGACCTTGGAAATGTTAAGAAACTTAGGATTAAGTCGTTCGGTTTTAAGTTCGTGTCGTTATTCTTTGGGCAGGCTATCTAGTTTACTGCTATGTTGACGATTAGGAGACGTGTATAGTGTCTACTTATGAACTATAACGTTTGTATACTCTTCAACCAAAGCGGAAGCAGGGGACAGTTTATAGTGTGGTTACAGGTTACTGTGGTATGAGGACTCGCGTAGTTCTTAGTTTGGCCCGTAATATTGTTGGTGTTTGATTATAGTTTTGCACATGGGACATCTTTCTGGACCTTGGCATGTGTTTGATCATGTGGGATTGTCTTTGTTTGTTACCTTTAAAATAGGAGCTGCTTACTTGTAATTTGGATCATACATAAAAGGCTTTAGGAACCTATCATTTAATTTAACAAGGATCCTCTAAAGCTACTTCGTACACTGTATTAGGTTTCTTTTCAAAGTGATGACAAGGTTTACTTGTCTTCCTTGTTTAAAAGGCATAAAAGTAAGCATCTAAATCTTTTATCATATATATATCTTCCGGCCTTTTGCATGATTGAAAGCGAAAACATCTTTTCTCTTCATATAATTTATTCAAGTGACCGGACTCGGTAGATGACCTCTATGAAAATCTTATTATAGTAAAGGAAAAAAGCATTGCCTTGTATTAACTATGACATTGTTCTGTTTGACCTTGTGATATGTCTTATTGTACATTCTTAAAAAATTTCATCAATTTTTAAGTGCCTTGAGCAAATATGTGCCTAGATCTAGATGTCATTTTCAAGTGTGATTTCAAAAAATGTTGATGGACTTGTTAATTTTGTGAACCAGTGGCTCTCCTACTTCCGGCGGTATGGGTGGTACCCCTACCACAACAGTGCCTACAACTTCTCCTACTACACCAACCTCCACCCCGATATCTGGGTCTGGCTCCACCCCCGGTGTAACTCCAGTTTCTGGTGGCACCGGTGGTATGGGTGGTACTGGCACTGGTGGTGTTGGCATGAACCCAGGTTCCACCTCTCCCTACAATACTTCACCAAATTCAGGGAACGGGGTACTTGGTGGGGTTGGTACCGGATTAGCTCCTACTGGAAGCTACGACGACAGCCACGCTGGAAACAAGCTTCAAAGCATGAGTTCAGGCTTGATCCTTACAACACTAGCGATCTCAGCCATCGCGCTTATGTGGAATTGAAGGATGGATCTTTGCAAGTAATGATGTAGTACGTGCCCATGTGCAGGATTTGTGGGGCAAGCATGTGAATTAGCACTACTTATTGGTTTTCAATCTTTTCAAAGTAGAGCAAGTCATATGTATGATGCAATTCTAAGCTTAGTAGGGTTATTTTGTATCTTCAACCCATCCTTCACATCATCTTTTAGGGATGCTTGTTTCCTAGCTCTCTTTTCGCATTTTCGACCACGGATTGTTAAGACGTATTATTTGTTCTGTATAATCTAGATCTAGTTAGGAAGGCAGAGAGAGACTACTAGTATACTACGTACCTATTAAATATTGTAAGCATCCCTGGGTTGTGTAACTTATGTAGGAAAATCTTTATTATTAGTAGCCTTTTTTTTTATTTTTTATTTTTATTTCTAAATGTTCAATTATTGTGTGTGTATTTAAATTATTCTGATTTCATGCTGTTTTTTGTTCTGTGCTGCTTTCTTTTGTCGTAAAGGGCAAGTATGCTGTTTTATGGCATGGTTAGCACCATTAGTGGGGAGCATGGTGGGGAGTGGGGTCCTAATTTTGACTTCTTGTACTAGTAGCAAGAGGTCCTTTACATATCGAATCAAAATTTCGCATCATACTTTGTTGTCTCTGATACTCCCTCAGTCCCGCTTAGATTGGCTCGTCTTATTTTTTGTTTACTACCTCTGTTGTTAAAAGATTTAGCGGGGTTACCGTTTGTACATTAATAATTGAGAAAGAGTGTTAATACAGTAAATTTGTGTAAGAAAGTAATGAAAAAAAGGAAGTACTCCATAAGATAGTGTGAAGGTGAGTATGAGTAGAAAAAAGTGGAAAAAACAAGAGGCCACCCTTCCCCTTCCCACCTTATTCAATGTCATACTGAATTAGGTTGATACAAGTATATTTTTCCTTGAAATTCGATGGTCTTAAGAGGTTAATCATCATCGTCGTTTGCAAATATGAGAGACCATAAACAACCGGGAAAGAAGATGCAAATATGAGAGACCACCCTTCCCCTTCCTTCTCTTTCCGGCACCATCTCCTTCACTGCTAATCAAACACACCTTAGAATGCGGATAATAGCACCTAACAGCTGCTGCAGGGACATAGTAGTCTATAAAGACACATGTAATAAGTAGTAATGCACAAGGTAGTATATGCTTATTGCATTTCTGAAGATCAGCAAGCTATTGCAATATACGGGGTTGATCTCATTCATGTCATCTAATAAGTAGCTTTAAGCAAATACGAAGTATTGGTTTGCAAATTTGCAGCAAGTTTATAGTTCTTCAGAAAAATCTTGTACATTTGCAGATATAGGCAGCTCAATAATATATCTAGATCAGTTTCTTTTGACTTCTCCAAGTATTAGCTGTTATATGTATGTTTATTTTTTTCTCAATTGTAAAACTGATACATCATGCATTTATATTGAAAATCTTCCGATTTCTGAAGCTTTTTAGAATTACAAATTTGTACCTCAGAAGTGACATGAACAAGCTAACTGTAAATTGATTCTCAAAGGCTTACAAAACATCAAAGATCACGGTGCAGGAGTCATGCAACCATTGACTACACATTTTAAAGCCACACAAGGTACAAATAGTATGTAAACATCAATGTCAAACACGACATATAGATACTACTTCGTAGTGTTGTACCCTTATTAAGAGTGAATTGTACCGGAGCTGATTAAGAGTTGTGAATTTAACCGATATCCAAAGAAATTAAAATGTTCCCGGGTTAGTTTTTACCAGCTACCTTAACGAGTTAATCTTCAAGCTGGGGAATGGAAATGGAACCGGTCACTAAAGAACTAATCATTCAATTGTAGAAGAGAAAGTATGTTTGGAAAAAACCGAAACATATCATCTTGCACGATATGATTGTTGGGAAGACACCCGTTTTTAGAAGATAAGCAATCACTCCTTAAAAAAAAGGTGCACAACATTACAGAATTTATCATTCAAAAAGACATATACTTATTGGGAGTTGTATCAATGATTTACTGCCAAGAAATATCGACGATTTGGGCTTCTAACAAGTTGAATGAATAAGGCCCGGTTTTATTTTTGGAGTCCAAAAGATTTGGTCCTAGTTTCCCTTTTTTTTTTTTTTTTTTTTTTGGTAAAACATAATTTCTCTGAGGCCTTTTTATAATGCGTAGTATTGTAAGTAGGGGAAATGGGAAATCAATTATTGAACACTAAGATGTGAGGGGTTGAACTATAAATAGAGTTGAAATGAATTGTTTGTATGAGAAGAAAATTAGGAACTGAACTGAACTTAAATCAAGCTAAACAGAACAGATCCTTAGTCTTGTGCAACTGTGCAAGTCACAAAAAATAAACAAAGTGGGAATTCATGAAAATTACTTCCTACAAAAATGGGAAATTTTTATACTTATAATTTTGTATACTTGTTTGGTTAATGCCAGAAATTTACAAAGGTATAAAGTATTTTTTTTTAAAGTAAAACATGTCCTTTCCACACGCATTTTGTAAGTTGGATAAAGTAAGGCATGTTCCGATTTATTGAAAACAAATGAATTGAACTGAATAGAGATGAAATGAATTGTTTATGAGAGAAAGGAAATTAGGAACTCAACTAAACTGATTGGAGCTGAATTGAACTGAACTGAAATTAAGCTGAACAGACTAGACCCTAAATGGACAATTTAGCTAAAATAACTCAAACACTAATGACACTACAATACAACATGTCTTTCTTAGGGTTTATTGGTTCACCTTATTTTTTCTTATTTTATCTGATCTGATACGGATCAGAGTTGGTCTAATCTGGTATGATCTGATGTATTTAAAACAATTGATTTTATACAGTAACCCTGTTTTTTTCACTTTTCTACGTTGTGTCCCAACACATATCACTTTCTACACTGTAACCCCAATATATTTTTTGTTTCCATACGGTAACCTTGCCGTTAAAATATTCCGTTAGCGGGGCCCACTCTCCATTATTAATATTTTTATCGATTTGGGCGTTGAAAAATATTCCGTCAAAGGTTTTGAGGGCTATTTTTGGTCTTAAGGAACCAAATTGAGCTCAGATTTGGCAAAAAAATAACGTAAATGCCTCGTTTTGCTTTTTAAGAAATGTCTCGATTTACGTGTTCATATTTTAACCAACAAAACGAGACATTTACGTTATTTGTTTGCCACATCTGAGCTCAATTTGAACCCCTAAGAGCCAAAATAGCCCACAAAACCTTTGACGGAATATTTTCTAACGCGCAAATCTATTAAAAAATATTAATAATGGAGATTGAGCCCCACTAATAGAATTTTTTAACGACAAGGTTACCGTATGGAGATAAAAAATATATTGGGGTTACAGTGTAGAAAGTGATATATGTTAAGACACAACGTAGAAAAGTGAAAAAAAAAATAGGGTTACTGTATTAAAAAACCCAAAAATTAAATAAAAAAAAAAGGTAAAAAAATGGAAGAAATTTTTTTTTTTTTTTTTTGACAGCAGAGAAAAAGGGCTCAGCCCCTAGATAATATAGTAATACATAAACAGTGAAATAAAGGCATAAGTCTTTCTAATTTGCTGATGACTCCTCTAGCATCTAAAGCCCCTGTAAGATCTCCCTGCATCCAGGCCTTCAGTCTTCTGTCCTTAGTGAAAATCTTCAAGTGCAACTGCTTCATGTTCAGAGCCCAGATCACTCCTTCAAGCAGTGCTTCCATCATTTGATTAGGATCCTCCATCCCGTTCTGCTGGGTGTGACCACTGTATGTATAGCCTTCGCTGCACACAAGCTTCCAATCCCATCTTCTGTCCTGTCTGCCCTTGACATTGCATAGTCTCAAGGTAGCTGTTCTGCACTTCAAGTTCCCGGCAATAAGCTGAATAGAATTGTCTTGTGTCTGCTGTTCACACGTTTTACCTGTAATTTCAAACCCCGGAGGCATATCTTCCCCAGGAGCTGCAGTAGTAGATTCCCCAGCAAGATTACACAAGCTGTTTTTGTGGGATGCAGCCACTCTATATTCCATTTTCTTGATTGTAGCCAGAGCACTTTGCTTTGTGTTCTTGAAAACCAAGCTATTCCTTGCCTCCCAAATGCACTCCAGTCCAGCAATAAAAAGTGCATAGCTTTCCTCTAGGCCTCTCTTCTTTTCACATAACAGCATTTGCCAATTGAAGATCCAATCTGCAATTGGAATGTTAGCCTGATGGGAAACATCTATTCCCAACTTACATCCCTTCCAGACATGACTAGCAAAAATACAATCCCTAAACAGGTGCTAAAAAAAAAATGGAAGAATAAAGCATGTAAGATGTATAAAGTGGAAAAAAGTAAGGTGGTGGCTTTTAAGATTCTTAAAACCATAGGTTCAGGTCGTATGATACGGAGTAGTAGTTACACGTTTCGTAAATTTATGGTCGCAAAACTTTCCAAATTTAGCAAATTCTCCATTTTGTCTCATAAATGGTAAACTATTGTCCAAACTGACCCTTGGTTCCCTTTCAACAATTGGTCTTGTATGGATCCTGTCTACAATAATTCCGGTCTACAATAAATTATTATAGACCCAAAATTTGACACTTTCAAATGATATAATTACATTCTGGATGATATAATTACTTTTTTAGACGATATAATTATCTTTTTATAAGTCATATTTTGAATTATATAATCTCATATTAAACCATTTAATGAGATTATATAATTATCTTTAAGATGATAAAATTTAAAAATCATCTTTTGAATGATGTAATTTACTATTTGATACTTTTTATAATGATAAATTTACTTTTTGAGTAATACATTTACATAATAGTTTCAGGATGATATAATCACTTTTGTAATAATATAATCACATTTTGTATGATATAATCACATTCGTATGGTATACTAGAAAGTTGAGTATACAAATAATACAATAAGTTATTGTAGACCGGGTCTATTCTAGTCTTTACCCCCTTTCAATAACGTTTTGTTATTATTTATTGAGTTAAGTTGAACTGGACTGGACTGATTGGAGTTGAATTGAACTAAATTGAGTTAAAATCTATTAACTATTATTAAAACAGAAGATGATGACATCATTACTGCCCACGCGTAGTTCTCTTAATAAAAAATTTCCCGCCTAAATGCAATGATGATGTCATCATTTTATTTTTGTAGAGTACAGTTGTCCTATTTAACATTTTTAAAAATTTATATATTAGAAGTTTCTATCTTACAAATAAAACATATCAATTTATCGTAGGAAATTGAAATAATTTTTAATAACACGCTAATAAATGATCTCCTACATTAAACTAGAATTAGACGACGTCGACAGATATTGTATCATATTTTTGATGAAAATAAAAGATTTTAAATTACAAAATGTATGTAATTCTTATTTATATTTATGTATAA